AAAGCTCACCTCTAATGATATGATGTCATCAAGAGGCACAATCTTAACTTCCGCAAGTTTCTCAACATCATCATCATAAACAGCGACGTAAAGTTTCGTTCTGAAGTAAATGCATGTATCATTCAAACAGTGCAAAGCAAATGAAGAAAACCTTGTGAGAAGAACAATAGTGTCAACAGCATCTCCATTCTGTTGTGAGTCACAGAGAGCCCATCCCCCTGGAAACCTCATAAGTGAAGTCACATGGAAATGGAGTGCTCACAGCACGAAAATGCGATTCCCTACCCACAACAACCTCTCCTTCAGGAAGCAGAAAATGTACCGTTTCACCTACAAGCCGGCTGACATTCTCATCTTCTTCTGAGTCTGAATCTCCTTCCAGCATCGATTCTATGCCTATGGTGAACAGATAGAGTCACATGAGCATTTTTCATAAGAAATTATTAACCCTGATCTTTGTTGCCCAAAAGGGCGTTGATGGCCTTCTGTCTTGATGAATCTCGCACATGAGAGAGATAGTAACGTGATGCGCTGTTATACCCGTCTTTCATGATTCCGGTAAGACGTCGTTCGCCACTTCGAGTAACGTCTCCTTTCAATGCTGCAGTTCCAGCGTACTGAAGAATGATGTGGACTAGTTGATATAAGGGAAGGTGGTTAATAGATACAAGTGAGTAGTGAGCTCTATGTTTCTCATGGAGTCAACTTTTTGACGACTGGAGAGGTTGAACATGCTAACAGAATGAATCCCATTGTTGCAAATTTCGTCAAAGAAAAGCAACCTGAGTCGAAATCGCATCACCATTGTCGGCCCACATATTTTGTAACAATACAACTAAAGCCTCAGGTGGCTCACATAATGGGCCAAACAGTCCTAAACGTTGCGCTTGCTGCATGCAAACCCATTGAGAGATAGATCCCTAAACACATAAACGAAGTATTGAAAACAAACATGCTAAAATATGAAAAAAATTTGTTTTATACACCTGTACTAAATTGGTTCGATCCAGGCAATCTACACAATTTGTTCGCACCACACCTTTTTGCGTTCTCACAACTTCACCTAAACACATAGGTGTTGATAGGACACTTTTAATAAATGCCGAATGACCTGTCTTGTCTACCCAGCAGTAACCAATTTCTCGCAGTAAGTCTTCCATTCTTAAGATGATGTCGCCAATCTGAAAATCTCATTTTTGCTCTGGAAAATAAGAAAAACCCTGAATATTACAAACCTTATCGAATTTTAAACCGCGGCAATGCCGGTGGAGATCAAAGGAAACGAAATGCAAGT